CAGAACCCATACATTAAAAAAAAATCCTTTATTTACAGTTCAAAATTTAAACACGATCTTGGTTCTGATCTGTGATACTTCCAGGTCCAGGATCACACATTGTGGAGGCAGAGAAGCAAACACAGAGGCCAGTCCAGCTTGTCAGACTCATGGAGAATGTCACCCAACACAGAAGACCTGAATGGTGGAGATAGGACAGTGAGAAGATAGGGATAGACAGCACAAAGGAGCAGGAAAGGGACACTCCATCAAATAAATGTTCCCATCCTAATCTTTTTCCCAAAGGCTAGACCTTTGGATCTCCAGGACCACGTGAAGATGTGTATAACACAGATACAGTAGTGAATGTGTGACCAAACATGTCTCTAATACTATTCACCTCTCCCTACACTATAGTATGTATTAAGTTGTAATTTACATTCCTTATTGTATATGTGGGCATGCATGCTGTGGAGATCAGAGGACAACTTGCATGAGCTGGCTCTCAACCATGTGGGTCCCAGGGATTCAACTCAGGTGTCAGCTTGGCAGCAAGTGCTGTTACCTGCTGTTCTGGCTCACTGGCCTGGATATACCATCTCCCTGCAACGGGACAGACGAGTTCCAGGAGGCTTAATGACTAAGGCCAGAGTTAACAGTGCTGGGCTTTCTGCTTGGTTCAAGGCCTGTGTCCTCATCAGGCTTTGATGGCTTGCTGTCCATGGCCTTCCAGGTTAGCTGTACTAAAAGAGAAAGGTATGCATACCAGCCCCCTTATGTGGACACACCCTCTTCTAGAGGACAGTGAGTTCTGGTATCACAATGTAGGTCCACAAGTTTGTCCAGGGCCCTGGAAGTGTGTAAGAATGCTTAAGTGCATTATAAACAGCTCAACAGACTAGAGGCGAAGGTCTATGACACCAGGCACTGTGTTCTCAATATGGCCTCAAAACAAAAACAGCCTAACACACACACTGCGATACACTGTGCTAAGTATTGTGAAAGAACCTGGTGGGAACCACAGACTGGGCTGAACCCAGAAGAGCTGGAGGGACATAGGCAGGCTTTCTAAACTGATGTTAGTAATAGGCATACTTCAGAGAGAGAATGGAAAGACTTGGGATATATACACATATACATACAGTGTGTGTTTTTATTAGAAGATTTAAGTTCAGTGTAGGAGAATTCAAGTACAAATAGGACAACATAACCTGAAAAGAAAGTCTTTGCTTAGTGGAAGTATCTACTATTAGCAATGTGCTGTTTAACCCTACCAAAAGTTCTGGAACATTCAACAAAGTGCCATGTTTGTACAGCATAATCATCTCTATGGTCACTTGATTTAGTTTAGAAATCTTGCCAGTACACACAGATGCTCTTTTTTTTTTCATAAGGCTGAATGGTACTGCATGGAAGAGCCACACCATGAATGTAAAGACAATGTAGGAGCCTTGCCTTTGGACTGGAGCAGAGCCAGACACTCTACCTTTTTTTTTTTAAAGATTCATTTATTATGTATACAGTGTTCTGCCTGCATTCCAGAAGAGGGTGCCAGATGCCATTACAGATGGTTGTGAGCCACCATGTGGTTGCTGGGAATTGAACTCAGGACCTCTGCAAGAGCAGCCAGTGCTCTTAAGCGCTGAGCCCTCTCTCCAAGCCTGACATTCTACCTCTTTTGTGGCAGAGCTTCCCACTCTCAGAGCAAGGACAGTGTCACACCCCCAACAGCCCGGCCAATTCACGGGGGGCACACCTTGCTGGTGTCTAGGTGCTTGTCTCTCTTCTGGCATCTCTGATTGCCAGGCAATACCATGCAAGTGCAGCTGCATATGAATCGAGACTGTGAACACAGTGATTCTTGCTGGAGCACTAGAATGTCACCTCCTGGGCTAGGTTTCTCCTTGAAAGGACAAACCCTGTCATCCCCCATGCTGAGCTTTGCCACTCACTGTTACCTGTGAAACTTCATCACAACTAGCTCTCTAGCAAGTTATTCTGGAGATTCAAAGTACATTAAAGTATGAGAAATGATGCTCAGCATGGTGACGCACGCCTGTAATCTGGACGCTTAGAAGGCTGAGACTCTTAACAAAACAAGCCACTCCCCACCCCCACCCCCAAATCCACTGGGACAACAAACAATTGGCAAATAGGTCTTAAAATGATCTATATGGCTCTTTACCATTATTCCACCCAAAACAAACCTGAGGTATAATAAAAACACTGTGCACAAAGAGATGGCTCAGTGGTTAAGAACAGTCACTGGCTCTTCTTCCAGAAGACCTGGTTCAATTCGCAGCCCCCACATGTTCAATTCGCAGCCCCCATATGGTAGCTCACAATCATCTGTAACTCCAGTTCCAGGTGTTAGCATTTAGGCATCTGTACTGGCCTGCCCTTAGGGGCCTGACAGGATAGACCCCAGCTGCAGCCACTGAGAGCATTTCCTGTGCACATATAAAAGGAGGGCCTTGTACACCTCCCATCTCCTTTCTCTTTCCCTTCTTTGTCCCCTTCTCTCTCCCTTTCCCCTCAGTAAACCTCCTAGGTGGGCCCTCTTGTATGGTGTGACTCTTTCTCGCCGCTTTTAAAATACAACCCCAGGGGCTCTGACTTCCTCTTCCAACCTCCCTGGGCACCAGGCACACACATGGTGCACAAGATACACACTCAGGGAAAATACACATATAAAATACTAAAACAAAAACAAACACTTTTGGAATGTTAGAGAAGCCTGTAAATTTTCACCTGAAAAGGAAAATGATGGGCTGCTAGCTCATTCCTTATTTCCCTTAATCTGTCCCAAGTCTCACTCTGACGAAATTCAAAGTGGACAGACATCCGCCAACCGCCCCCTTCACAGCAGACCATTCTCTAGACTCCCTGACACCTTAAAACTGAGGATAGGGGTTTAAAAAAACAACTTATGGGGCTGGAGAGATGGATCAGCTGTTAAGAGCAGGGACTGGTCTTCCAGAGGACCCAGGTTTAATTCCCAGCACCCACATGGCAGCTCACAACTGTCTGTAATTCTAGCTCCAAGGGACCCAACACCAAAAGCACATAAAATAAAAATAAATAAAACAAAACACCAAAGCACATAAAATAAAAATAAATAAATTTAAAAAAACTTATGTGCATGAGTGCTTTGCCTGCATGTATGTATGTGCACCACACGTGTGCCTGGAGCCCAAGGAGGTCAGAAGAGGGTATCAGATTTCCTAGAACTGGAGTTCTGCATAGTTGTGAGCTCCATGTGGTTGTTGGGAAATGAACCCAGATCCTCTGTAAGAGCAAGGAATGCTCTTAACCACTGAACCATCTCCCCAGCTTCCACACCCAGCTTTTATGTGAGATCTGAGCTCAGGCTCTCATGCTTGCTCAGCAAGCACTTTGCCTTCAAAACAAAACGTGGTTATGCCATACTGCTATGCTTTGCCCAGGCTCACCTTGAATTCCTGGGCTCAAGTGATCCTCAGCCTCCGCAGTGGCTGAAGCCACCCTGGATAACTGATGTCATTGCCATGTCCCTAAGCATTAGCTACAGCACAAGCCTGAGCAAGTGAGGGTTGGAGGACTGAACTGGAGCGCAAGTCTAGAGCTCACTGTACAATATGGCAGCCACTATAGTCACGTGTAACTCCTGAGATTTAATTAAGTAAAGTGGCTGGACAGTGATGGCGCACGCTTTTAATCCCAGCAATCGAGAGGCAGAGGCAGGTGGATATTCGTAAGTTCAAGGCCAGCCTGGTCTACAAAGGGAGCTCCAGGACAGCCAAAGCTACAAAGAGAAACCCTGTTTCAAAAAACACAAACAAAAATTAAAGTTAAAAATTCAGGAGAGGCTGGGTATGTTGTTCAGGTGGTGAAACACTTGTCTATTACATAGGAAACTCAGGTCAATCTCCAGCACCATACAGACCAGATGTGATGACACAAATCTGCAATCCCAGGACTCAGAGGGTGGAGGCAGAAGGATCAGGAGTTCAAGGTCATCCTAAGCTACACATCAAATTTGAGGCCAGCCTGGATTACATGAGACCTTGTCCCAAAAATAAAATGTAGCTGGGCAGTGGTGCATGCTTATGATTCCTGTACTGGGGAGGCAGAAACAGCAGAACTGCTACAGTGTTGAGTCCAGACTGGGCTACAAAGTGAATGCTTGCTCTGCTAGGGCTGAAAAAAAAAGACCCTGTTTCAAACTTCTCCCTTCCCTGTAAGTAAAAAAGCCAAAACAACAAAAACCAACCAAACCAAACCAAACCACCATCCCCTCAGCCTTAGCCACACCAGCCGAGTTTCACATGCTCGATGACCACAGAGCTGGCAACTAGCTCTATTCTCTCTCGGGTACAGACCCAGGCATCTCCATCACCGCAGAAAGGGGCTGTCCAGAGGGCCTCTGGAATGTGAACCACCACCGAGGAATAAGTTCCACTTGGGCTACAAGAGGGACTTTGACAGAGAAAGAGCTAAATGGCTTTTGCTAACAGTGGAGAGGCAGGCTAATGATTCTTAGAGTCCCCAGCAAGGCTTTCCAGTTCTGGAATGTAAAGGTTGGGTTTTGTTTCGCTGCTTCTTATGGTGTTGGGCATTGAAACCAGGGTCAGGCAAGGACCCTATCACAAAGCCAGAGTTCCTGTGTCCTTAACATAAAGAATTCCTGAGTTGGGCAGTGGTGGTACACTCCTTTAATCCCAGCACTCAGAAGTAGAGGCAGGTGGATCTCTGAGTTCAAGGCCAATCTAGTCTACAGAGTGAGTTCCAGGACAGCCAAGGCTAGGCAGAGAAACTGTTTTGAAAAACAAAACAAAACAAACAAAAAATCCTGAACAATCCCCCCTCACCCAGACAGAGTTTCTCTGCGTAGCCTTGGCTGTCCTGGAACTCACTCTCTAGACCAAGCTGGCCTCAAACTCAGAAGAGATCCACCTGGTTCTGCCCTGTGTTGGGATTAAAGGAATGCAACTCCACCACCACCCGGCCCGATCAAGTTTTTAAATTTCATCTTCTGTATGTGTATGTGAAAGAGAATTTATTACAAAGCAAAGTGGGGCACCCTCATGGGATGAGAGGCAATGGCCACAGGGACCACTGCAAAGCATAACCTCACAGGGTGAAAGTAGGTAAGAGAGACCTAAATTTTTAGGTAGGCTTTACATTTCCTAATGTTTTTGGAGTCTTTTTGTAATCTTCTATCATCTAGTGATGATCAGGGATCAGCTTATGAACTCATCATTAGTGACATCAAAGAAATGAGGGAAACCAGGAGAGAATTGTCAGTAGCTCTTGAAGTGGGGAGCAGGTTGAGCCGGGAGCGGGGGTCCCCCATCTTGGCAGAAAGACTCACGGTGTCCATTCAGTTTGAGAAGGAAGCATTTGCCTAGGCAAAAAAGGTCCACATGTAGCTCCCAGCATGCACTTGTGCGTTCCTGCCTCAGCATTGCTCACTCTAGTCCCCTCCCCGAAATGCTTGGTTTCTCTCCACTGCCTCATGTAGTGTTACTGAATGCCTGTATTTTCCAGATGCTGAGCACAAGCAGGTCACAGATGATGATCAGTCACTGAGGTTGTTTGTATCTGACACCATGCTGGCGCACCTCTTTCATCCCAGCACTCAGGAGCAGAGACAGGCATCTCTGTGAGCTGGAGACAAGCCAGTCAAGGAGAGACCCTGTCTCAAAAATGAAACAAGACTCCATCCAGGCCAATGAGATGGCCCAGAGGGTTAAGACCCTTGCTGTTGAGTTTGATCCCAGGGACTCACATGACAGAACAGACTTAAGAAAGTTGTCCTTTGACCTCCACTGGTACTCACAATAAATGAATAGATACAATTAACTAAGTACATAGATAAAGTACAGAAATTTCATAGGGTACAGACTCTACCACAGAGGCTATTATGATTGGAGGTAGTGAAGGCTAGTTACATAAGACAAAACAGGAAAGCCATTAAGGGACCAATAATCTTGACACCATCAAATTAGAACTTTACATATTTTTCTTTTCCTTTGCTTAGTAGAGACAGACCCAGGCCCTGTGGGTACTTTGTGCTCCTGAGCAACACCCTAGCCTTCTTTTTTGCTGGTGGCCAAGCTGCTGCTGCCTTGGCTTGCCGTGAACTTGTGGCAATCTTGCCTCAGCCTCCAAATGCTGAGATTCTAAGTGCAAGCCTCCACATCTAGCTCTGCAAAAAAAACCCATTAATTTATTTCATTTCGTGCACGTATATATGGGTGTGCAAGTGCCACAGCACATCAGAGGGAAATTTGCACCATTCTCTATGCACCAGTTGGTCCTGGGGATCAAACTCAGGTCTACAAGCTTGGCAGCCAGTACCTTTACCCAGCTTCACCTATCCCCTCTTTTATACAGAGTCAGTAAGTTGTCAGGCTAGCCTTGAAAGCATTCTTAAGTCCAGGCAGTCCTCAAACTTGTCACAATCTTAGCCATCTCTCCCTGGCTGGGATTACAGAATTACAGGTGTGCACTCACACCCAGCTAAAATTTTTTTGTTTTTTTGAGACAGCATTTCTCTTGTGTAGCACTGGCTGTCCTGGAACTGGCTTTGTAAACCAGGCTAACTGTCTCCTGAGTGCTGGAATTAAAGGCGTGTGCCACCATATCTAGCTAGGTGTGACAATATTTTATCTCAGGAATCAGGAGCCTGAGGCAAGTCAACTAGGTAGGGGTGGCCTCCTATCCTTATAATCTTACCCCTAGGAGGCAGAAGGAGGATTATAGATTTGAGTTCAGACTTAGCTACAGAGACCTTATAGAAAGAAAACAAACAAACAAACAGGTGGCCTGGTGACCCACATCTGTAATCCTAGCATTTGGGAGACAGATCAGGAATTGAATGTCACCTTTGGTTTCACATCCAATTTCAGGCCAGCTCTGGCTACAATTTCCCTAAATCAACAAACAAAAAAGCAAAACAGGCAAGCACTCTCTTTTAAGCCCAGCACTCTGGAGGCAGAGGCAGACAGATCTCTCAATTCCAGGCCAGCCAGAGCCACACCTGAGACCCTGTATCTAAATAAATAAACAAATAAGAGCTATTTAACCACCATCAAACTTAAGTAATGCAATTGGAAAGTAGTTACCAGTCACAATGGAAAGGAAGTAAACCTTGGTAGAGATATCTTTTTCTTTTATTTATTGATGTGCACTGATGTTTTGACTGCATGTATGTCTGTATGAGGGTGTCGGGTACCCTGGAACTGGAGTCATGGACAGTTGTCAGCTGCCCAGTATGAGTGCTGAGTCCTCTGTAAGAGTGGTCAGTGCTCTTAACTAATGAGCCAGCTCTCCAGCCCTGGTAGAAATGTCTTATAGCATATAATTTAAGTTTTTGTTTTTGTTTTTTTTTTAAAGATTTAAATCAAAACATCCTCTCTCTCTTTCTCTCTCTGTTTTTCAAGACAGGGTTTCTCTGTGTTGCCCTCACTGTTTTGGAACTCTGTAGACCAGGCTGGCCTCAAACTCACTCAGAGATCCACCTGTCTCTGCCTCTCAAGTGCTGGGATTTTTTTTTAGCCAGCTGGTGGTGGCACACACCTTTTTTTCCAGTGCTCAGAAGGCAGAGGCAGATGGCTCTCAGTTCGAGCCAGCCTGTCTACAGAGTGAGTTCCAGGACAGCCAGGGTTATGCAGAAAAACCATGTGTCCCCAACCCCTACACCCACCCCTCAAAAAAAAAGTATGTGGGTATGCATGCATGGTACCCATGTGGAAATCAGAGAACTTGTTGAAGTTGGCTCTTTCCCATGGTGGGATCTGGGACTCAAACTCAGGACCACATGGCAAATACTTTTATCCAAGGAGTCCTTTCAGTTTTTTGTTTTTTAAACATAAGTTAGTTTTATATGAACTAAAAAGGAAAAGTTTTCAAGACATCATGAAAAATATGAAGAGACAAAAACCAGCAAACAAACAAAAACCCCCAAAGGACTGACAAGATGGCTCAGTGGTTAAAGGCACTCACTACTCTTACAGGGGACCCAGCACTCACACTGGGCAGCTGCCAGCTGCCTATAACACGCTCCAAGGAGATCCAAGTTCTCTGTCCTCCTTGGACACCACATGAACTCACATGCACATACCCATACACAGACACATATACAACAATAAAAAAGAGGAAAAAAGGGCAAGAGCAACAAGATAGCATTATGTCATCTGGGAAGAAACAATCTTCCCAAAAGTAGATTGACAAAGAAAAGGTGAATACATTTCAAACCTACAAGGAAGTGACTTCTGGGAAGGGAAGAAAAACTTCTCCTTTATTACTTTGGTGTTAAAGTTTTCACATATAAACTGTTTTATATTACTTGTGCAATTAAAAATAAACCACCAGGGGCTGGAGAGATGGCTCAGTGGTTAAGAGGATTTGCTGCTCTTGTAGAGGACCCAGGTTCAGTTCCCAGCAACCACATGGTGGCTGAAAACT